GGCTCTGCCGGGCGCCTCGACGGCTCCTGCGGCACGCGGCTCCGCTCCGGGGCCGCCCCCTTCGCTGCGGCGGCCAGGAGGGCCATGCGCGGGGCCAGCCAGCTCGAGGGCCGCCTGCCACGCGGGAAGCCACAGGATGATCCCCCCAGGACCCAGGCGCCAACGAGGACGCAGGACGGGGCGCAGGGGCTCCGAGGTCCCCCCAGGGCAACCTCCTCACCTGGACCTGGGGGCGTCCGGGCTGAGCGCGAAGCCTCCGGCTGCYGGGCAGGTGGCTCCGAAGAGTCGGCCCAGCCAGGTGCCCATGGCGGGGCCGGCGGGGGAGCCAGGAAGAGCTGGGGCGGCCGTGTCCCCCTCGGCGCGAGGCTGCGGGGAGGCCGGTGGCAGCCGCTCGCCCTGGGCCTCGGYGGCAGCCGCGTCCGGAGGGACGAGGGCGCCGGGCTCCGCGCTCGGCAGCGGGCGCAGCTCCGTGCCCGCCTGGTCGTGCGCGGCCGCCCCTGGCTTCGCCCAGCGGCCCTGGGGCACCACGGCCCCGCTCGGGGCGGTGCTGTGACGGCAGCCCCGGCTCCGCTGCTGCCACCAGGCGCCCAGGCCCCCAGCCACGGCCCCCGGCTCCGGCCCGGCGGCCGCGGTGCCCAGCAGGCTGCGGCCCAGCTGGTCGCCCCAGCGCCGCACGTGCTGCAGCGTCTGCTGCAGGGCAGTGCCCACCGGCGGCACCGCGGCCGGGGCGCCCTCCGCGGTGCCATCGGCGTGGGCGTCAGGCCCCGGCGGAGCCCCCGCACCTCCCTGGCGGTGCTGGGCAGGGGTTGGCGCGACACTGGGYGGGCGCCCGGGTGGCAAGGGTGGCCGTGGGGCCGCAGGCCTCACATCCACGGAGAGGTGGTGGTGCTCGAAGAGCAGGTCCAGGTGGAAGGTGAGCACCGAGAGCGGCTGGATGAGCAGCAGCAGCTCGTCCGCCAGCTGCGGCAGCCRGCCCTGGCTCAGCGCCAGGAAGGACGAGGGCAGGTAGAGCGCGGAGACCACCCCTAGGAGGGACGAGCGAGCGGTGACGCCTGGGCGGCCGCGGAGGCCTCGGGGCGATGGTGCGGCCCCCAGCTCTGCGCAAGGGCAGGACGAGCAGCGCGGGGCCGCCGAGTTGCTCACCCGGGCTCTTGTGCAGGTGGGAGAGCCACAGCTCCAGCTGCTTGGTGCTAGAGGAGGCAGAGGGAGCGGCCGTGGGYGCGGGCAGGGTCCCCCCGCGCGCTCCCGCCCACGGCGCCGCTGCACTCACTTGAGCAGCCCCAGGACGAAGGCATGGAAACGCTGGCGGGCGCCGGTGAGCGGCGCCAGGCGCCCCACGCGGCAGCAGAGCGCGTGCAGCGCCCGCGTGCCGGGGCCTGCGGGGCAGCAGCGCGTCAGGGCAGCCACCCCAGCCGCCCCGGCCGCCACCGCCGCCGCAGCACCCACCTGGCTTGGCCGAGGCCTCCACCACGCTCCAGGGCGACGTCCTGCGCTGGCCCGTGATGACGTCCTTCTGGAAGGGCTTCAGCCCGTCCTCCACCAAGGCGCAGAGCGCGGGGCACAGCGTGTGCAGCAGCAGGTAGCCCACGTCCGGGCTGAGCCAGCTGTCCCCAAGCTGTGTCTGAGACACGGGGGGGTGAGGACGGGCAGCACCCACGGTGGCTCCGCAGAGCRGGAGGGGGCTCCGGAGGCCGCCAGCTCGGCCGGGGAGCGGGACCACGCTGGGTGCTCACTGCATCCCCTGTGCCTGCTGCATGTGCTGCATCTGCTGCACCCCCTGTGCCCRCTGCACACCCTGTGCCTGCTGCACCCCCTGTGCCTGCTGCACCCGCTGCRCCTGCTGCATTTGTTCCATCCCACTGTGCCCACCCTGCACCCCCTGTGTCTGCYGCATCTGTTGCACCTCTTGCATCTGCTGCACCCACTGCATCCCATTGTGCCCACTCTGCACCCTCTGCACCCCCATCCCTGCTGCACCCACTCCATCCGCTGCACCCACCCTGCACCCGCTGCAGCCACCCGGTGCCTGCTGCACCTGCAGCACCTGCTGCACCTGCCCTGTGCCCCCTGCACCCATCGCCCTCCCCGCGCCTGCTGCGCACTCACCTTCTGCACCAGGTTGCGGGCCGTGCTGAAATGGGCCACGATTCGGTCCACGGAGGCGCTGACGGCCACGAGCAGGGCTGGGGGGAGCGCGGGGGTCAGCCCCGTCCCCGCCGCCACGCCCGGCCACCCCGACGGCTGCACCAAGGGGGATATTAGGGGAGGGGAGGGGGCCGGACTTGCCTCTCTTGCTCCCCGCATCGAG